CTGTTCTTCACAGATGCAGACATACCTATCTAACCAGGTATATAATGAGCTAGACGTCCCCCGTGCATCGGCTTGATAGGCGGCCGACTCATCGACATCTGCCGTGATATATTACCATCACCTCAACTGACCTCCCTGTCCTGCTCCCCCCTGCCACCCCCCCTTGTCACGGCCGCCTTGGATATCATTCGATTTAGTTGATCGACTGCCAGTCTACGGAATCTCACATCCTCTGCAGTACCGGTCGCTGCTGAGCTCTCGAACCCGGCGGACCCGCAGGTTCGGTACATGCACTGCTGACAGACGGGCGACTGACCACAGCGAAGCCCATCGACAGCCTCAAATTAAGCTGCTGCTAGTTCCATCGTACGGGAACGCCTGCTCCGTACGAGTACTCTTTTCACGTTTATGTTGTTGGGGCCGAGTAGTACAAAAACGTGGTAGCAGGCGCAAATCACGCCCTGCTTTCTTCTACCTGTCTGCTTCTTCTGCTTCTGCTTCTTCTCCCTTCTCTTCTCGCCGATTCTCTTCTCTCTTGTTGCCCAGTTTATCCGTCCACTCTCGTTCATTATCTTCAACACATCGTCCCCGGACTGGTTCTCGGCCCTGTTATCTCTCACCACAAGTTCCACCCTGCTTCTCCATAAGCGGATGGCCGCGATCCACGACCGATACACCGTGCTCCCGCCCCAGAGGCTACGACGGCCGGGAGCGCTGCTGCGAGCCGTGCTGAGACACAAAGATTCTGCGGCAAGCGGGTATACGAATACTAGTCACCAAGTCAATCATCAAAATCGTCGTCGTCAAGGAGATACAACGAGCGTCCAAGTGCTGCAAGCCCGGGCAGCCTCTGGACCCGAGCACTCGCACATGCACTACATCAACCCGTACCAGTTCGGCGTCGGCGGCCCGGATGCTGGCGCTGGCGCTGCTGGATTCCAGCTACAGGGCCCCCCTACGGCTGCCTGTACAGCGCCTCCAGCGCCTCCAGGGGCCTTGTCTCCCCCCTCCGTCCCCTCTATCCCCGCCCGCGCTGTCGTTTTACCGCCCGCGCAGCACCTAAACCCCAATTTCTCCCCCTCAAACTCGATCCGTCACGCTCGCAGCACTTCTTCTCCTCTTCCTCTAGTTTCACCTCTTGTCCCCTCTGCGCTCGACCGCCGAGCCTCGCGACTCTCGTCTCCCATCGCCACGATGCCCGAGTATCGCCACATGCGCAGCGGCAGCCTCAGCATCCCCAGCGCCGCCCACGGAAGCAGCCATCATAGCATGCCGCGCAGCCCGCCCAGTACGTTACACAATCCTCCTTCTGTTTGCTGGCTCTCTCTCTCTAGGGCCTTCCCCCACCGAAGCCCGGCACACGACCGCGGCTCGAGCCTCACGATGAGCAACGACTGATTGCCCGGGCATGCGCTGACCTCTTGTTGCTGCTTGTAGACACATCGCACGTCCCGTGCAAGTTTTTCCGCCAGGGAGCCTGCCAGGCCGGCAATGCCTGTCCCTTCAGCCATGATCTAGGCGCCGCCTCGGAGACGATTTGCAAATATTTCGCAAAGGTGAGCACTGCTCTTTTTTTTATGCGTGTGCGCCTGCGGGTGTCATATCTTGCATATTTCGATCCCGTGATCGTCACCCATTGCGACAAGCAGAGGAACCAAAGCCGGAAAACCGACATTGATCCCATTTCTTTTTGTCCTTGCCCGAAAATACCCGCACCCTTCCACGTCCTCTCCGACGCTCGTCCGATGTGCTCCACGTTCTCCTCTGAATACCTCTTTTTGCGACCTCTCGCTTGCTGCGCCATGGCATGACAAAGACAGATGTGTCGAGATTGGTTGGCTGACAAGGGGCTTTCCTCTTAGGGTAACTGCAAGTTTGGCCCCAAGTGCGCAAACATCCACGTCCTGCCCGACGGCCGCCGAATCAACTACGGTAAGAATGGCGTTACCATCGGCCCAAATCCCCTCAATCTCGCCAACCGTGCGGGCGGTGCCAGTCCCGTCTCACAGACCCCGGGCTCGGTCAGTAGCCCCTTCAGCCTTTCGACCGCCAGCGCCTTGACCACGTCCCTCTACCGCGCCGACCAACCCGTATATCCTTATCTCGGGGATGAGTTTCAGCAACTCGGCCTCTCCAGCGGCCACGATAACGGCCCTCCTACCATTGATGCGCCATACTCCGTCACCGAGTCTAGCTATGGCTCCCCGCCCGACGACGACCCCTCCCGCCTTGGCTTTGGCCTGTCGCCTGCTGCAAAGGGCTTGTCCGTGCTCGATGCACCATTGCCCGCTTCGTTCGACTCCAACGGCATCTCCAACGCCGCCCGTTTCCCTGCTGCGCCATGGCCCTCGTCCGTACCGTCAAAGTTTGGCCTCGAGTCGCCGTCTCCATCACTTAGCAGCATCAAGGACTCGCGCACCTCCGAGACGCTCAAGCTGCTCCACTCGTCAGCCTTTGGGTCATCCGAGCATCTTGCTACCCCCACCGCCGGCAGCCCTCCAGACTCGCAGCATCTCACGGGCGAAGAGTACTTTGGGAAACGAATTATGCACTCGACCCGATATCCCAAGCCGCGACTTCTCAGCGCCAGCATGCCCAAGAACATGGTTGACCGCGATTGGGAGGCCGAGTTTGCCTTTGGCGACGACGACAACGTGCCGGAAAATCTTGTTCCTGGCGACTTGCAGGATCTGTTGACCCCGGCAGAAAAGGCCCGGAGAGGCTCAATGCGAGACGAGAGGCCCGACTTCAACCTCGGCAGTCTTGGCAAGTATGGCAGCCCCATTGGTTCAAGCCCGAGCCGTTGGGGACCCCTGTTCCAGCGTCAGAAGGAAGAGGAGGAGATGACCAGATCGGCCCGAAGCGCTGCCGGATCAGCTTTCGGCCACGTTGGGAGCCCCCTGCGAAATTCGATCCTGGCCAAGGAAATGTCTGACGACCTCCGGCCATCTGCCATCCGGTCCGGAAGCGAAACCATGTCGGTCCTGTCACAGCAGCTCCAACGCAGCCGGCTGGATGACACGTTGAATGGCTCGAGCCCTCTTCTGCACCCCACCGTCGGCCGTAACGCCAGCAATGGCATCTCACCCATCGGCAAGGACCGCAGCCTAGAGCGCCACGTCTCCAGCACCAGCATTGGTTCGTCCGTCACTGGCAGATTTACCACTCCGATTGATGAAGAAGACCCCGATTTCGTCTTCAGCATGGAGGAAGAGGATGACTCGTCATCATCAAAAATTCGCAAGCGCGGCTCCTCCGGTCTGGCGCTGGGAGCCTACAGCTCCTATGCCAACGCCGCTGCCGCCAGCAAGACAGTACCGGCTTCCAACGGCACCAAGGAGGGACGAGACGCTGTACCGGTCAACGGAAGGTAATAGACTTCGCGAAGAGACAAAAAAAATACAAAAAATATGGCGGAGCATATTTTCTTTAGACAAGATACCCCCACCCTTTAACACCAAAAATCGACGAAACGGAGGAATCACACCATTTTTGACGAAGGCATGACGATCTACGAACCAGACGACAGCGCGCCATGCGACGTGCATTTTTCTTGGAAACCGAGAGTTCAGTCCATCGACTTTTTTTTCCGGATGTCCTTCCAAGCTACTTGCTTGTTTTCGCTTTACACTTTTTTCTTCTTCTCTCTCGTCTTCTCTTGCAATAACAATGGCAATCTTTGGAAGGGGAACACACAAAATCATCATCCGGCATCCAACATCGCCAAGGGCTGGGAAAGGGAAAAAACAAAAAGGGACACAGGGGGTGTATATATATACTATATAGGTTGGAGTTTTCTGCGTTTTTTTCTTCTTCTCATTTTTCTTTCCATCTTTCCGTCATGCCATCGAGGAGCCATCTAGGACAGCCACGCCCTGAAGTCATACCTCTCATTTTCTGGTCTACGGTTTATCAAGGGAGTTAGCAACAACAAGCATCATATGCTTTCATCATCATAAGAAAACAATGAAAGTAACAAACTTCTGGATCATTTATTTTCTTCTTCTCTTTTCAAGCATTTGCCCTGGTTTGTTTGTTAATATTTCTTTCGCTTTTTGCGTTTGCCGAGACTGGGGGATCTTGTTCGTTTCGCAACGAACGATTAGCAGACATTGGAGGTGGATATAATAAGGGACGGAACCCGAAGCCAACTTGGATCTACTATTTTCTCTTTTCGCCAGGATATATTCGGAGGAGTTGGGTCAACCCGTTGGAGTCACTTTTGGAGGCAGCGAGCTTGGAAGCACCCGTAATAATACCTCTCAGGTTACGCCAGTCAATAACTACCTATGATTTATCTGCGTTTGAAGATGTATGTATCATTAGGACAGGGGAGTTTGTATATGCAATTCAGGTGAAATATTGAGCTTGGGGTTCTCTTTCGTTAATAAAAAATAGTATTATCTCGTTTTAACATGTGAATCGTCCTGTAAGATTGCTTATTTTGTAGTTGTGTTTTTAGAGAAATCATGAATGGCATCTCATTTTGCACATCACGGGAGATGTCAACTTCTGGCAGTCAGTCGGTGGAGAGTAAAATGATTCTTCTATACACTAGTACAAGGGATAAGCTGCAAAAGACCGTTTTTTTTTCGCAGCGTCTCCGACCACCATCAATACAAATCGACCTTTTTCTTCCCGTTCTAACACCCCTTTCCCCCATCACACTCTTTTCCCGTCGGATCCCGAAAACACTGGCGAATAAAAGAAGAGTCCCTTTGGCCCCGTTTCTCCCTCTCGAAGATGAAGAAGAAATTATGAGATTTTTTTGGACCGTGAAGGCCTTTTTTTTTTGTGTATTTTACAAGTCCCCGAACAAATTCATTATTTTATCTCGGTAAACCCCGCCCCTATATCCTGACCTCTTCTTATCCGGGTATATCGTAGGAGGGAATTTCAAGTGACATAACGAGGGAGGGACTTTTAGAGAGTCAAGGAGGGAGAAGAAGAAAAAAAGTGGTGGCCAGCGTTTCCAGAGTCGTCGGGTCGGGAGGAGTAATTTAGTGAGCATCGGGCTGGTTGAGGATGTACTCGACAGCCTTGTCAACTGCAAACGGAGTGTGAGCACTATTTGATATCTAGGGAGAGGGGGAATGCGACTTGTCGTACCTGAGTGGATGCCGTCGGCGTCCTTGTCGGGGATCTCGATGCTGAACTCCTCCTCGATGGCCATGACGACCTCGACGGTGTCGAGGCTGTCCAGGCCGAGGTCGTTGGCGAAGTGAGCAGTGGGCTTGATCTGTAAAAAGGGTAGAGTTAGGGAATGTCATTCGATGAGGGGGGGTTCTGCGCGCGGTGGTATTTCCGGACGTACGTTGGTAGCGTCGTTGACCTGCAGCACATACAGTTAGCAAAATGTTTGCGTACACAAGGATTGAAAAATAGAAAAAAAAGTCAAGTCATGGACCGGCGCATATCCAAACATGATGATGTTGTTGCACCCCGCTCTCTTTTGCTTGCTCCCCCGCCTCCATCAACAACCACCTTCTCAGATCCAAATCTTGCCATTGCGCAGCTATTCCTTTGCCAAACGCAATGCATCCCACAACGTCTCCGTGATATCACCTCCCATTTTCCCTCAAACCAGTCCTCCGAATGACTTCCGAGCTGACAAAACAACTGCGAAGCAATAGAGCGAGCTGGGGGGCCAAGCCTACCTTGTCGAATCCCTGCAGCAGGCTCATGATGCGGCCCTCGACCTCCTCCTTGTGCAGGCCACCGCCGGCGCTGTACATCCTCACGCCCACGAGGCTCTGGACACGGACAGGGGCGGCGGCGGCGCGGGGAGCAGCGGCCAGGGCAGCTGTTCTTCGGATGGCGACGGGTCGGGCGACAGCGCGGACGGCCGAGGCGGATGTGCGGAGGACAGCGGTGCGGAACATGATTGCGGCTTTTGTGGAGGACGAGGGGAAAAGAAGAAGAAGAAGAAGAAGAAGAGGCAAAGTCAATTGGGGGGCGGCGGTTGACTGCGGGTTTTGGGGGTGGTTTTGCGGCAGGGCGGGTTTTTTATCTTTAAAGGTGACGACGGGACCGGCGATGATAAATTTCTCGCTGGCTATTACTCGGTCTATTGGAGGTTTTTCGGAGCTGGGCCGGTACAAAGGTACATGCGTTGGGAAAGCTGGAGTGCGGAGGGGGAGGAGAGATGAGGAGTCACGTGCAGCTGGTGGGTTGGAGGGGGAGCTGAATCAGCGGGAATGGGGAGCTCCGGATTGGTGAAGATGCGTGTAAGGCATTGTGTGAGTATTACATGGAGTTTGGAGAAATAAAGAGCTGTGTTTACTATTGTTGACATGGGTACTTGATTTCGTATCGATAGGACTCTGTATCAAGGTGGTTGGTTCAATAAATATAGTAGCTACATTGATAGAACACTTGGTCACAGAAGTCTGTGCAGCTTGCTTAGCACACGCTTGTCAGTGTACGACTGAGTTTGATACCACGTTGGTATTACAAACCAAGTCTGACAATCAAATGGGCATTGAACAGAAATGACATGTTCAAAGAAGCGTATCTGTGCACCTATAAATACCCGTTCACATCTCTCATCAAATTGCGCCCTAAAGCCATTTCTAACAAACTTACCCAACCCGACCCAGAGTTCAATATGAAAGTCACCATAGGCAAGGTAACCCTCCTAATGTATTTGCTGTTGAAATTGCAACACAGAATCAGAAGAAAGAAGAAGAAGGGCAAGCCAGTAGACGATCGTGACTCTACAGAGACCAGAACCGCCCTTGGAGGCAGTGGTAACCAACAAGACCTCTCTCAGTATGGTTCTAATCTCCCATAAGCACAGAATTGGCCGACATTGGACATATCCAGAGTCTTGGTGTTACTGGAAACGGCCTCGGTTATTCAGAACCGGTGGTGAGCAAGAGGTTAACATGTTCCTAGATAGTTGAACGATAACTTCAATGTCTTGCCTCCACCAATTCACCGATGCTATACTTTACAACTTATTGTAGTCACTTTTCCTCATCGTTTCCCGCCCATTCACCCATTCCATGGCCGAAATTCGAATACAAGGCTTATTTTTTTTTTCGTTTAGCGCCAAGCTTATGTACAATCCTGTTGTCCATGACTCCTCCGTTGGTGCCTCTCTTCTAATGGTTCTCTCTCCCCTCACATCATACAAAATGGAATTAGTTTTGTGTAGCTTATCGGTAGGGTGAATCTGCGCGAATGGCGGCAGCAAGTTCAGGCTCCCACTTGTCTCCGTTGGACAGCAGTTTCTCTGTAATGGTTGTATCAGTATATATATACGGCTGCAGAGCTCATCTCCCTTGGGCTTCATCACAAACTCACCCTTGTTGTACAGCAGCTCTTCTCTGGTCTCGGTCGCGTACTCTGCGTTGGGAGACTCCACGATGGCGTCGACGGGGCAGGATTCCTGGCAGAAACCACAGTAGATGCACTTTGTCATGTCGATATCGTAGCGGGTAGTGCGGCGAGAGCCATCGGCACGCTCTTCGGCTTCAATGGTGATGGCTTGGGCAGGGCAGATCTGTTTTGCGTGCGCGGTTAGCATTTCCCCATCCCTGCAAATGCGCTCTCGAATATTGGCGGGGTTCCTTACGGCCTCGCAGAGCTTGCAGGCAATGCATCGCTCTTCACCAGAGGGGTATCGTCTCAGCGCGTGTTCGCCACGGAATCGGGGAGAAATGGGGCCCTATGAAGAGTGTTAATCGCAGCTCAATGGCAAGAGGAGGGTTCACCATGGATATCTAGCTCATCCCCCGCGCAACCTGCGTACCTTTTCGAATGGGTAGTAGATGGTGTAGCTGCGTCCCTCCAGTCAGCAATCTCAATTCACACCAGTGACCGGTGAAAATCCTGAATCTCCAGAGTCGGTATAACATACGGTGGTCGGAAGAACTGCTCCAGCAGGACATACATTCCTCTGGCCATCTCGGTCATGAGGAAGTACTTGCCCAGCCGGTCCAACAAGCTGTCCTTTTCCCACACCCACTCGACCTGCTTGCTCGTTCGGAAGTTCTGCGGCGGCGGTCCCTTGGGCGTCGCATATCCCCGCTGCTGGTGGTAGGGAGTGGCCAGCATCCTCGTCGCCATCATGAGCGGGCTGGTAGCGGCCGGAGCTCGGGCAAGCTGGCGTTTGGCGAGCATGGCTGCTGCCGAGGCGGAGAGGGTCGGCGCCATTGTCGTCGGATTCGCTGCAATTGACGGAGGTGCAAAGAGCAGGCTCGCCTGGGCCGGGACGTCGATTGGGCGGGAGGCGACTTTTGACGTGATGCACTTTTGATGGCTCTTTTGCCGTGGATGAATGGCTTAGTGCACTGCGGGATTACATTGCTGGGCCAGTGATTGGTGGGACTGGCCGCTCGTGACATGGCACGTGATGCTTCATATAACTTGAACGCCCGCTCAAACGACCTCGGCGTGCTACAGCTCATTATTACCTCCTATCTAATGCCAATCCAGGTGTTGTGATGATGAACAGAAGATCAAAAAACGAAATCAAAAATCAAATCAACAAAGAAAAAAGAAACCCGCATTTACACGCTTCATGATGGATTACTCAATGGCATAATCGACGCTATGCACAACTCGCTTTTTCAGAAGCTCTTTTCCCATGTCCCCCACCACAGCCCCATGTTGGCTGCCACCAGCAAATCGAGCATCTTCAGCCCGTCGTGGTAGATGATGAGCTTGCCGAGCTTGGCCCGCTTGCCGCGGTTGCCCCCTCCAGCTCTCTCGCCGCCTATGTTTACGTCAAACGGCGATATTACATCGACTTCATCTCTATCTTCATAGCGTTCCATGGCCGACTTGATGAACTTGCTGAAGTGGCCAAGGCGGCGGTCGTCGCCTTTGGGAACTTCGCCAGAGGGGAACAAGTCGGAGCCTGGAAGATTGAAGCGTAACTCGCTGACAACGGTGGAGGTCGACCTCGACGGACTCGCATCGGGGACTAACGGATTATAAGCTCCGACCTCGCCCTCATGCAAGAAATGGTGGCATAGCAAGCTTCGGCCGCCGTTGCCCGTGCGAAACTCGCATCTACCACCCCAGGGGCTTGTAAAGGTGTATCCTCTCGGCTTCATCTTGTCGGGACGTGAAGACGTCGGTGACCCGGCCTTGTATTCTCCGGAGCTGAACGAATTGGCCGATGCTTCGCTCTCGCTTCGATTGTGTGCCTTCTTCCGAGCCGCCTGCTCCATCTGGTGAAATTTGGATCGTATGGCAGAGCCGAAACTCCTCGAGTAACCCATGGAAACCTGTCTGGAGAACATGCCATCGGCTCGTGGGCCTGGTGCCATGTCCATGAATGAACGATCGGCATCCATACTCCTCCTCGGGGGAACGGCGCTTGATGGCCTTCCACGGAACTTGGCATACCCTGCGCTTTCGATGTGAATATCGATTGGGGGATGCTGAGGAGATCGCTGTTCCGAGGATGCAGAGAGATGCATGGCAGACTGGCCCGTTTCCCCAACCTCCGTGTTCACCTCGTACGACGAAATCTTGCCTACGTTCCACTGGTCTCCTGTACCTGGATCCCTCCTTATCAGGCTCAAGGTAAACGGTGGCGTGGAATACTCGCTGTTCTTCGTTGGAGACAGGGAGCGACTCTGCCTAGTATGTCCCATGGTATCTGTTCGATCTCTGGTTTGATCTCTAGAACGTGCCGTTTCGTCCATGGAGACCCGACTCTGAGGAATATCGCTCAGCTGCCTTGGCCCGACAGGCTTGCGTCTAGTAGACACAGATGGGCGCAACTGCTGTGGCCCATCTGGAGCATTCCGCTCAGAAGGGTTGTCTGAGAGTCCTGGGCCCGAATATTCGTAACGTCTGGGAGGTAGAGGGGGTGCAATGTCGGCATCTTGCGAGCTAAAAGGCACACTAACATCGTTTGGTGGTCGCAATGTCGGGTTTCCAAAAGTAATCTGGGGCTGCTGTTGCTGTTGCTGTTGCTGTTGCTGATCACCTTGTATCGAAATATTGGGAGTCTGGGATGAGATTGATCCGGGCACCGGCTTCCGAGCAATCGTCCTCGTCATGGAGCTATCCTCGCTGGATCTACCTTGCGCGTCATCTCTCAATGGGTGAGGGCCGGTTACATCCAGCATTGGGAGCTCGAGATGGACATAGTACAGACTGCTGGAGACATCTCCGCCTGTGACATTCTTGATCTGAGGTTTAAAGGGTGATAGAATAACATCTGCAGTTATTTGTAAGCTTTAGCTCCGAGCAATGCCATCAAGTGCGGGAGAGGGAGCTTCCGAATACCTCTGGTGCCAGGGACTCTGGAGATGTAGAGCACCAAGGGCTCTAGTCTTGTCTCTGACGGGTTTTCGGGATATTGCGGCGGATTCGCCGCCAGCAGGTTTAGGGAGGCAAGTGAATGGGCCTCCATGGCTCTTCGTCGCTTGCAAAATATGCCTCTATTGGGAAATATGCTGGTGGCCTTGTGAGAAGGTTGAGAAATCCGGAATAGGCGCGCGGTAATAGAAATGGCTGGCTTGACGTATTCGCACAATTAAGCTTACAGGCACTCTGCTATGTGACGAGTGGCTTTGACGATGATGCTTTTTTTCTCTCCTTTCTTATGTAAACGAGGGCTTGTGCAAGGATTTGCTGCAGGTTCACGGCATCCGGACATCAAGGCCCGGAGAAAAAAAGGCGACTAACCTAAGCCGAAACGAAGGATGACAACATGCAAATGCCGGGCCAAACAAATCAAAGGGCAAAGCTGGAGAGGGAGAGAGAGAGAGAGAGAAAGAAAGGCCAGACAGACGCAGATTAACGCATCCTTGCTAGAGGGTAAGCAGGAACGGGCATCACCCTTAGCACAAGACGTGGTTTTAAGCAAACGTGAGACGGAAGATGGTGTCGTGTGCTTTGTCCTTGTCTTTGTTTTGTCTTTGTTTTGTGATGCTTTTTCAGAAGACGGAGAAAATGACAAACGTCACCGCGCCGGGGCTGTGCTGTGTCAAGGCCACCGGGTTTTATTTTAGGGGCGCAGAGAGGCCGGTGAGCGAGCCGATAGGCCGTCGCTGTTCTAAAGGGAACCTGGTGATGAGGCGTCAGCTGCAGACGGGGCGAAGCTGAGAGAGAGACGAGGGAAAATGAGCTCAGCTGGAGTGGTCATTGCTCAATGGGTACACGTATACCGTTTGGTGATGGTGGTTGGGGATTCGTTTCCCTGTGTGCAGCTGCTTAGGTTGGCCTGTGGCGATCAATGGATAGCTGGAGGTGATGTGGTTAGCAGCCAGCTGAGCGCTGTGGATAGTGGTGGATAGTGGTGGATAGAGGTCGCGTGCTGGTAGTTGGGCAATACAGTGCTGATAGCACTAGTCAGCTGCACGAGAGCGGCACGTCGATCCACAGTAGACCTGACTAAACTGCTACTGTATTTAGCACTGCCAGACGGGCTGGTTTGATGCCCGAATCGGAGTCTCGGGTGTCTTGCATCATCTTTCCTTGCCTTGCCTTGCCTGTTCCAATTATAACATCTCCATGATCCAAGCATCTACACTCGACCTGACTCGACTCGCCCCCTTCAACATTCTTCAAATGGCAAAATTCCAGCATCGTCATGATCATTCTTTTCCCAAAATATCCGTCAGGCCTGGTCCTGGCTCTCCCCCGCCTTTGATGCGGCCATGTATCACCGCGTAGGTGATATTGCAGCCGGATGCAGTGCCCGTTTCCCATCCCATCGTCTGCAGGTGTGCAGCATTGGGCTTCTACAAAAATAACCGCGTGTTACATTGAGCATTCTTTGTCCACAGGGTCCCATCCTAGCCATCTGCCGAGCCGCTATCCTGTCCTGCACACGGCAAGCGTCGTTGCGGCATCAAATCTTGGCAGCACAGCCTCTTATCTAATTCTTGCTCGTCGACGCTGGACAATCGGTGGCCGTGGTTGTAAATGGGAACCCGGTATGGCAGTTCCAACATGGACTCGATGCCGCACAAGCGGTGACCGTCTTGGTGACGACGCCTGCGGCCTGTGAACAGCCGCAAGGCAGGGTCACCAAGTCTGTGGTGACGAATCATGAGATGGATGCTTCGCTCGCGCGTGCTATTTTGGGCTACTCACTATCGACTATGCAAAACTCACTGGAGCAGTCGAATTTACAACCTTCACTGGTGCCAGGATGCGTCGTTACCGTCACGGTAGGGACGCAGCTAGTTGGCGATGCAGGGGCCGCTGGCGTTGGCTCTTCGCTCTGCGTGATATATGCGGTACCGCATCCTCCAGGACATGGGCCGCAACATGGGTAGCCAGTGTATACCGTTGGAACTGCTGCTGCGCATCCCGCTTGCGGCGTTATCGTCGAGTCAACCAGGCACAGGACCCTCAGACAAGTGCTGCAGTGAGTCGTTGTCGAGGTGACTGTGGGGCATGGCTTTTCCTGGGTAGCGACAGCCAAAGGACGAACAACGGAAATAGAACTTGGTTCAAGAGTTCAAAGTCAGCTGGGTACCATGAGTTGATCGGGCATTAATGTTTTGGCTTGAAGTGCCATACATTGCGAGCATGAGGACGGTGCTGATCGAAGCGAACGGCATTCTGGCAAGCGTGTACTGACAGCTGACTGCTTGTTTAGAACGAAACAGATAGGCTATCCGGGGAAAACCTATTTATAGGCGCTTGGAGAAGATGATACTTGAGAGGTCTGATGTTGTGGGCGTCATAGCCTGCTCTAAATACTCCAACCCGGTGTCGGTTTGTCCCCGTCAAGTGGCGTGATGGCGTCCCATCGTGACAGGCGACAGTCCGAGCACTGATGCCGCATTGCAGACGAGTGTCTTGTGTGGCGCTCTCCAGCTGTGATACATATTGCTCTGATAGGCCGGATGAAGACGTCGACAAAAGGATCAATTCCTTGGCGAAATGCAAGGCATTGAGGGGCACAACGTCGATGTTGCCGCTTCCGAACGGAGAGCTTCGTTGATTGGGCCAGAGTTACAAGCTTCAAGGGTGATTGCTTGCAATCTACATGGATGATCATCTGCCAGCATTGTGTTTGACAGGTGCCACTCACATCCGTTTACAGAAATCAACCGAAACGTCAATGATTCGGTATGAAGCGCGAGCTCGTATTCCTTGTCCAGGCGAGAGTCTGCTAGCCAATTAGAAACGCTTCCGAACCAACACTTGTGCGTGCCATATATTGCGGCTGAAGCTGATGGCGCTCACATGTGCTCCCTGCATGCTGGGGAAATTTGTAGACGGGGAATTGAAGCGTGAATGTGTAGCTAACGGCGAGGAAGTCAGTGCTGCGAGGACCGTGTATGTACTCATGTAAGTTTTCGTGGCATTTATGAGAATGCCAAATGCTACCCCCAAACCTGAATAGACATTATTGTCAGCAGTAATTATACACAGACTCTTGTAATGACGAAAGTGTATAACTGTATGCAATAAAGATATTGAGCGCTTGATCACTTCATGCCGATGGCGTCTCGGCTCTATACGCAGCAACCACCTCGTTCACAACGTCTTCCAAACTCTCATCCTTCAAACCAAGCAACTCCATCGCAAACCCATCCCTCCTTGTCCAATCGGCGTCTAGAGCTCCCAGCACAAACACAATGTCTTCTATGGCGACCAAAACGGCCTTTTCATCATCGCTCTCTAACCTCTTCTGAGCGTCCTCCAGGTATGGCTTTGAATCGACATGTTGGACGTGCCACTTGTCGCCCATTGTTTTTTCCAGAGCAGCCACAATCTCAAGCTGCGTCGGGTTGAAGCTCTGGACGTAGAGCGCACGATTGCGAGTCTCGACGGGTCTCTGGAGGATGCGGACAGTTGCCTCGGCGATGCGGCGCAGCGTCGAGGTCGAAGCCCTGATGGCGCCTCCGTCCAGGATCTGAGCCGTGCGGGTGTCAAAGTTGATGTGCAGCAGTCCGTCGCGCAGCCCGTGATCGAAGAAGTGTCCGCACACAAGAGTCGTCCATGAAAAGGCCGCGCTGCCGTCCTGGGCGGCCAGGGCCTCGCACTTTTCGCGCACTGCCGTCTTCTTGCGATACAGCGGCAGGTACTTTTGCGGCTCTGCGTCGGCGGCGTCGCAGCTCCCAAAGTCGGCCGGGATGAAGCGCTTGACGCCGGCGTTGAAGGCGGCCTCTACGAGCCGGAGATGCTGGTCGCCCTGGCCGAGCGGGAACGCGGCGACGACGGCATCCTGGCCTTTGAGGGCTTCGGTGAGCTCGTCGACGGCGAGGTCAGAGCCAACGACTAGGCGCGTGACGGAGGGTCCGAAGGTCGTGGAGGAAGACGAGCTTGAGCGCTGGAGGACGGACACGTCGAAGCAGTTTGCGGTTACGAGCGCCTGGAGGATGACGGAGCCTAGGGTGCCATTTGCGCCTATGAGGCAGACCTTGTTGAGGGGGGTTTGCGTCATGATGGAATTGGGCGGGCAATGAGTGATTGTGCAATACCGCTTGTGTTATCACCAACTCGAATGGCTGACTGGATCAAGTCGAGCAGCTCCAACGGCTGACCGGATTGGGCAATGTGTTCAACGTCAATGTTACTTGGGACGGGAAGCCCCGGCCCTTGAAGAAACGTGGAGGTTTGGTGGGGTAAGTTGTCTTACGCCATAGAGCGATCGAGTCATACAAGATCATGGCTGAAGGGTGATTTACTATTAGACTGGGAGAGTGGAAACGGAGTCGGGAGAATAGAGGCGACGGGGACAGCTTGAGGCTAAAGCAAAGTGAGGATAGTAGAGGCGAAGGAAGGAAGAGGGACATTTAGTCATGTCAATCAAAGACTTACACAAGCTCCACCTACGCCTGCTACATGAGTTTCATGTGATTTCCCTCGAGTTTGGCCTCCGGCTCCGAAAAGACTCTCCAACTCGGCGTCCATACGCCTTCAATGACCCCCCCGGCTCGGCCTTGTTCCCCCACATTTTATTCGAAACGCGGACTCTCTCGGGCATCCGAGATGGAAATAAGGCTGGGATCGACCGTAGGATCTTGTTTTAACTCCGATCCTCGTGCAACTCGCCGTTCGGCTCGGGTCTAGCAATACAGCGTATTTGACAGCGAATCACAAAGAGAGCTCGGTTGTATTTTCCTTTGAAGAGCTATCAAGAAGGATTCATAGAGGAAAGTCACTGGCAATGGTGTAAACGTGTATATATACCAGCTATGGAACATCTAGTTTACAATGGGGTATCAACTCAACTCGACAAGACAAATAACCAGCTAATATCACAACAACTACCCATCGCATTTCACACTTGATCATAAACAATGGCCAATGACAAGCACATCGTCTTCATCACCGGTGCCAACACTGGCATTGGCTACGAGGCCGTCAAAGCATTCTTGCGCTCCTCCACGCCGTTTCACATCTTCGTCGGCGCTCGTACCGTAGAAAAGGGTCAAAGGGCAATTGATATCGCCACTCAAGAGGTCCCAGGATCGAGCAACGTTCTTGAGCCCGTCGCCATCGAGCTGGCGAGCGATGAGTCCATTGCCCAGGCTTTTGAGACTATCAGTGCCAAGGTGGACAGAATCGACACGCTCGTCAACAATGCGGGTTCGTAACGTTTTGCTTCAATATTGATTACACTGAATGAATAAAGGAACTGACACATGCCTTCTTTACGCATCAAACAGGTGCCGCTTTCGACACCCAGAGTTTCGCAAACGACATTTCCAACAGCCGCGAAATCTTCAACAAGGCATACGACGTCAACGTCACCGGAACTCACATCGTAACCGCCACCTTTGTCCCGCTCCTCATCAAGTCGTCCTCCCCCCGTCTCATCTTCATCACGTCCGGCCTGTCAACCCTCACGGCGCACTCGAGGAGCTTCTACCCGCCGTGGGCTCCGAAGCCGGAAGCCGGATGGCCCAAGCCCGGCGTCATCGCCAACCTGGGCTACAAGAGCAGCAAGACTGCGCTCAACATGGTGATGCTCAACTGGCACTGGCTGCTGCTCAACGATGGCGTCAAGACTTTTGCCATTAGCCCGGGCTTCTTGGCGACGAACTTGGGGGGTGTCCCCGAGGTTCTCAAGTCGCTGGGTGCGGGTGATCCGGCGATTGGAGGGGAGTTTATCAGGAAAGTGACTGAGGGGGAGCGAGATGCTGATGCTGGCAAGGTTTTGAGCAAGGATGGCACTCAGGAGTGGTAGAGGTTTGTTATGAAATGCATTGCTGTTTTATATCTGCGTGTACATGCGTGTGTCTAGCCTCTTTGAAAGGGCTTAGCAAATAAAGTATTATGAGGAGAATGATTTTCTTTATCCTCTTCGCACTAATATGACATCACCTCCTCTTCTTTCTACTGATATTACTTCATCTCCAAGAGCATCATCATCATCATTATCCGTAGATGCAAATTCTTCACGAAGCCTCCGCAGTCTCTTCATTATCCGATCTTTGATCGGCTCATGCCGATACCTCGCGGGGATGGTTGTAGCCAAATTCCAATAGATGAGATATTCCAGTTGACCGATCCACCGGTGCAGATTCGCAATGTCGGCGGCAAGGAGTTCTCTTTCGAACCCCTCCTCGACGGATAGCTCGCTGCGGTAGCAAGAAAGCTCATATCGCAAGGTGGCCATTTCACCCCTAGCCGGAGGATGCCTTCGCACGGCCTGATATTCTGGCGGTGGCTCCATGAGGTCTTCGACGCAGGCCACGATGGTCTTGTCTTTTCGCAGCCAGCGTCTAAAGTTGCGGTAGCGATCCCTGACGAGGATGGGGATCTTGACCCAGGGCAATGTCGTGGGGCCCTCAGGTCCCGACAATTCTTCCTGCAACATTGTAGATGTGTGTATATGTGTACATGTATGTTTATGTAGATGAGTGCGTAAATGTGTACAAGTGCGTGAGCGAGCGAATGCGTAATCGAGTGAACCGGCGAATGAATGATGGAGCAGGGGATGAATAACGAAGCGAATGTGTATATGAGCGAATGAGCGAATTCGAAAAAATAAGTGAGTGACCGAAGGTTGTATTGTACCACCATCGGATGGTCGTCTGGTTAAATAATAACGGCAACACTAACATGAGCAGACTGTTGGCAGTTGGCTTTTATATGCATTATTCATTTAGACTTTTGACTCCGTGAGGAGATCACAACCTGACCTAAACTTGACATGTGCGGAATTCCAGGAACGCCCGGCCAAAATGAAATAAGCTTATCAACTTGTCTAATAATGGAATGGCTCTCCTGAACTCAATCAAGCCTCTTCATGGTATAAATCGACCCTTCTTGTACCTCTGCGTGAGCATTTGGAGTGTTGATACACATCACGGTATGGATCTACAGGGGCAGAGCGCCTCTCTTTGAAAACCATGATGACTCTGTCAGATGAAGCGTTACCTTCCTGCCAATCTTGGAGGCTTTCGTGGCCACGAGAATAAGATATGGCTTACTGACCAATGGTTTATACCCGATGGTTTATAAATGCTCAAGAATAACGCAGATACGGAAGATGGCGCAGAGATGGTACCAACAAAGGCCCGCTATAACGCCGTATACGAGGAAGGCCATGACTATCCTGGATTTATATATGCCCGACATATACCAAGAGCAACTCAGCAAAGATTCATAGAATTATGCAATGGTGCTATATTTACTGGTGAAGCATTTTAGTACTAGACGGCTGTCAGTGGTACGTCGTGATTGACTTTTGGCGTCGATGCTGCGCCGTTTACGGAGACCGGCATTCCTCGTGATAGTACGTGAATGCAGCATGGGTACGGTCAAGGGACCGTCTTGTACGCTCAAATATGATGCCAGCATCATGATGTAACATGAATTGGAGAGGGTGAACTTTGTCTATGCATGAAAACTTATGCTGCAACAGTCGTGTCGCATGAGATTATGGGTTGTATATTAGAATTACACAGGGCCCTCAAGGCAACTCCTACTAAGCAGCACATATCCGGCTTCCATGCCCTGTCCCCGGAAGATACCTTTGCAAGAGCAGCTGAAATATCATATCAAAGGTATGTACAAGGGCTATTTCCAACTAGTAATCCATCTTGATCGCGATGCTAGGATCACATCAGACGCGCCGCCCCCCGGTATAAGTGATGGGACGAAGGGTAAGCTTTGGATTTACATCACCACCACGGGTTCTGGAATGCAGCTCAGCCCAAAACTTGGTGACGCGCAAGTCGCGCTCACGAGTGTGCACTAAAGAACGGATGGATTCGTAGATTGCATTCCTAAGACCCGGGTCATCGCTTGACAGGGACAAAACGCAACGACGCCAGCCTCCCTTTTTTTCTTTTCCCACACACACACAATGCATCTCAAAGAAAGTGTCTCGCTTTAGCCTCTCTCCAGCGAGTAAACGTAGCTGAAACGAACTGTTGGAGATGTGCCGACGAGCCAGCCTCTCGATTCCCCTTGGTTCGCACTCATACCTCGGGCAGGCATGTTAGCTTCGCATGCCATCTATGCGTCAATCCCTGTGCGCTTCTCCACGTATACAGGGCATCTGACTTGAGAAGATGCGTGTGTTGAGCTACATGTTATTCGGCGATACTCGGTGACGGGGGGCCAAGTTCCGCGACTGGCTGCTCCCATTCCCTGCCCATGCGCATGGTGTCGCGAACCAGCCGGTACGTCGATTCCATGCCCAAGTCTGGCTACGCATCCCACAGTGAGGTTGGATTGCGGCATGCATAACAAACCGCGGGCAGCTTCGACGGGTATATAACTCGACGGCCGTTGTACTTGTCCAGTGTCCCATCTCCTTGGCATGACGACTTACCAGAGGAGAGTTCCTCTGCAAAGTGACTGCGAGTTATCCAGAAGCACACATCCCAACATGTCTCGACTCGCCCTCCTCGTCAGCCTCATGGCCGCCACCGCAGCAGCCCAAGCAGAGTACGCATCCCACGGCTTCAAATACATCGGCTGCGTCGAAGCCGACCCCCCGGCCTTCTCCTTCAACGTCAATCTCCCCACTCCGTTCAGCGCCCAGCAATGCCAGGAGGCCTGCCACGCAAAGGGCAAATACGCCGCCATCGACGGCTCGTGCCACTGCGAGGATCCCGCGTCCAAGGGCGAGCCCCAGTACAAGGTGCTCGAGGATTCCGTCTGCGCGCTGCCGTGCATTGGCGGCAACGCAACTGCGGGCTGGTGCGGAGGCCCTCAGTGTCCGGTGACTGGGAAGAAGCGATATTCACTGTACAAAAAGGATGGTGACGACTGCGAGGAAGACAACGGCAAAGGGATCGGTATCGGGTTCCACACCAAGAGCATCCCCGTGAGAACCTCCACCACCATCAAGACCATTACCTCTTGTCCCCCCGAAGTCACCAACTGTCCGCTCTCCTGTCCCCCTGGAGGCTGCCATATCGATCCTCCGTCTCCCATCACGAAGCACCACCCTGGCCCGTCATCCGAGCCCTCTGCTCCGCCGTGTCCCCAGAACTGCGGCCCTCCTTGCCCGCCTCAGGGCTGTGGAATCTGTCCTCCTGGGGGATGCCTCCCTTCGTGCCCGCCAGGCTGCCCCTTTCCCCGTCCGCCGCCTCCAGAGTGTCCCGGTGAGCACTGCAAGACAAACGTTCCGGCATCTCCAACATGTCCGCCAGGAGGATGCGTCAAGCTTGTCACGGATCCTATCCCGCCCCGTCCTCATCCTACGCCTGATCCGGCTCCTACCAAGGTAACGGTGACCATTAGCGAGGGCGCCAGATACCAGTCTGGGGTGCTAATGGCAGCTGTTGGCGCGTTGATCGTGGCTGTAAGTTGGCTTTGAAAGAGTATGTTGGTGTGACGACTTGATAACAAGGTATCCCTCGTTTGGTAAAACAAGAGGCTGAGAATAACACCAAAAAAAACAAGAAAAAAGAATAACCGTATAGATAACTTTGAGGCGCTTGATGGCGTTGCGGTGTGCTGCCATGCTTGTAATAATTATATGACACTCGTTGAATGGCTAGATACTTAGTTTCATCTCAAATAAATCGATGCTTGAAGAATACAGAATCCTTCCAGGTCCAATCTCTCCAGCTCACAAGACACCATTCGACAATAATGCAGATAAATACTCATCTGGTGGTAAGCTTTCAAAGCACATCACCTAAATCGGTAAAAAAAAATAATGAAGCAAAGCCATTTACCTCTTTGGGGCGTCCGTTAACGGAACATATCGCACCCCAAAGAGCTTCTTCCTTGTCACCTTTCCCTCTTCGTCCTTTTCGATGCGCCACACGCTCTGCTCCCACCCGGTGGAGTCATCGTCCACAGGAATAAACATGCTTTGACAGCCAAAGTGTAAGTAAGTCTCTTTTAACAAGTGTCTTGACGGATACCATGGGCAAAACTTACCATCCCGGGGCCTTGAGCTGTTCCAACAGAGGAGCGTGCACCTCTTTGGCTGCGGCACCAACGTGAATCACATCCCATCCTGCCCCCAACTCCTCTTCGCCCGGTCTCGCCTGCTCGACCCAGCCCAGTCTCCCGTCGCCAACGACAAACTTTGCGATTCCCGCGTCCAACAGCTTCTTTCCCTCTGGGCTCTTTCTCATGTTGGCTTCTCCCAGGTCTCGTAGCTCCTTGATGTGCTCCAGCCCTATCACTAACCCACGGTCTCCAACGAGCTCAGCAAAGATGTGGGTAAGATAGCCGGAGCCGGAGCCAACATCAAGGACCCGCGGTGCCGGTGATGCCTCGGATGGTAGAAGACGAGACAACACATGCTCAATGGCAGAGGCATGCATGTGAGGAGCAGAGATGGTGGCATCGTAGCCGATGGGCTGAGGAGAGTCTTGGTACGGCATGGCAGGGGCGTAGTTCCGCCGGTCAACCTGCTGCGGGTTAGATGAAGATCCCCCTTCATTTTCGCTCCCCCTTGTCCAGCACCCAGCTCGAAAGGTCCCTTGCCTTTAGAAATGCCTCCTTGACCAGAGGCTCGGTGATGAGGCCGTGCGTCCACATGTTTGCCACGAGCCCGGCATTCGAGCTCCCTGAGCACCGCCACGCCATGCTGATGCCGCTGCGCGCTTGGAGTCCTCCTACAACGAGAAAGCAGATGCCGGCAGACTTGAGAAGCAAGGCCGGACTGGACAGCCTTGCTACAGCTCGTGTGAGGGTTTGAGGCGCCAGTTTTCAATCGCGGTCCTGCCAAGGAGAGCAACGACAGTTCCAACGATGTGAGGGAATCAATGAGAAAGCCGTGAATGGAGAAGAAGACGGTTATCGTTTATCGGCGCGCTTGCGACTCGGGAAATCACGCAACTGTCAGCGGTTATACGGCCCGGGTCAGTGTTCCAAAAGCATAAGTGAGGATAATCTTGGTGAAAGCTCAGAAGTGATCACAGCCGCCATGATGTATGAAAGACGTCAAAGGCACGTCTTATCAGCTCCGTGCTGACGAGCTTTGCAAGTCTCCAGTTCCAGAGCTGCCGATGCTGAGCTCAGGCCTGTCGGCGGGGGCAAACAGCGCTGGAGCGCTGTCACCCCGCACGCGCGGGGCAGATGCTAGTGCCTGTTAGTGGCCGCTGCACCTGCAATGGCCTGTAAGCATCGGTGGATGATTATTTAATGAGCTGCATGCATTTGATCATCCGTTGCCCTGGATCTGCAACGGGATCGATCTGCGTAGATGAATCTCACGACAAAGAACTGGCTGACTGGGTATGAAATGGCCGTAAGAACTACGCAAGCCACTAGCAGGTCGATCCATCTGATGTATAAATACGTGCATAGACAGACACATCACCGGATTGCCTCAACGAGAGACCAACGAATGCGAACAGAAATCAGTTGTAGGTAAATGGCCCATTATCCTATACATTGTACATAAGAGAAGCGTGCTACGCGTTATGCCTGGGAAACTAAGAATGCAGCTGTCCATAACGCCGGAATCCATCCCACAAACAGACACAAGAAAACAGAAGAAGAAGGACAGGAAAAGAAAAGGGCTTCCTAGTGTGGCATTGATGCTCACACGCCCCAGTTCTGCCGCATAAATTGGGCACAATGATTCGACGAGGGAGGGCCATGGCGAAAAGGATCCAGATCTAGAAATGCATGAACCAACAGTTCTATACCACGTGCTCCGAGCTCTCGCCTTCTGCGATAATGGGGACGTTGAGCCCGCGGTCAGGGCTCTGCAGGACGAGTTGTTCGTGTCGTCGGGCCTTCATGAACTCGGCCACGCTCCTAATAAGCATGAACCAGCCAACAACCATCAAGATATATGCCATCCAGTCATTGCCTGAGATACCGGACCTGGGACCGTCACGCACGTCGTCAGCATTGAAGTTGTGGGAGTTTGGATCTTGCGGCGCAGCATATCCGTCTGGGCCTGTCATCTGAGGCGGGTCGTCGGGCGACCCTCGCATGTAGAAGCCGTACTGGATAAGGGTGATGCCTAGGCCAGCTCGTGATCCGTTTTTGGCGGCATGGGTGGAGTGAAGGAGGTAGGTGAGCAGGAAGCCGACGAGCTGGAATGAAGTCGAAATCATGCCGTTCCAGATGAAAGAAAACACCGAGCCGACGGGCATGCCGTCGACGTAGACTTCGTCTGCACCCCCGTATCCGGGCGCAAGAATCGTGGTTTCCCAGTAGGGAGGTGCGGCGTCTGCGGCAGCTTGTTCGTACGTCTGTAAATGTCACCATGATTAGCGTAAATTCTAGACAACCGTTTCAGGTTCCGGGGATTCGGCAAGGTAGACAAACCGGTGGTTGCTCCTCCTTCTCCGCATTGGCATCCGTCCGCTCTGGCCGGGCTGACATGTTGGCAAACACGCCATCCGAGGCATTTCCACCTCCCATTACTCGTGGTCGTGAGCTGGACGAAGTCGTATCTGCTGTCGCTGGGATGGAAGCCGACGCCGCCGGCGCAGAGGATCGCGAAGAGTCGCTGGTTGATCGGATGGTCGGCGTTGAGTTCTGGCGAACCAATCTCTGTCTGTCGTCGGCTTCGTCGTCGCTCGCATCATCGTCGTCAAACGCATCGGCGAGGTCGTTGTTGACCCGGCCATTTCGATTTGGCGAGGAAGCGCGGGAATGAAAGGACGGAGGTGGCGAGTTGGGGATCTGGACTCGTCGCTGGGGAACATCGTGCTCCTCGTCTTCATCGTGGGCATTTACCTGCAAAGTAACAATCGAATCGTCAGCCTCATCGTCGACGGAATAACCCCCCTCGAGAGTGCAACCAAGAAAAAATGCGACCAGCGTCCACATACCCTCTCGTAACGCCCAGACATGGCTGCAGCAGTGTTGCGTCAAAGTCGCGCAGCGCCGTGAATTGTGAGGTGTTTGGGGGAAATGGTCGTTGGTGATGTCGTAATCGGTCACGAGCGCCCCGTGGGAAAAAGGAGCACGAATCGGAGAGCGGCGGACGCAAAGGGGAGGAAGAGGCGACAAAGGAGAAGATGAGATAAGAGGCGGGACAAGGGTGAGGGCGGCAAGGGCAAACGAAAAGAGAAAAGAACAAGAAAAAGAAAAAGAAGCGCAATCCGAAGCGGAGGAGGTTTGGTTGGCGAAGATGATGGGGAAACGGATGGATTGGAGATTGAGATTGAATGGATGGAGTGGAATTACGAGAACAGAACGGGCAGGCCAGATGATGCGGCCACTGATGACCAATGCGAGGGAGGCGCTGGAGGCAACCTGCTGATGCACGCAAAGTGACTTGCGAACCCTGCCGGCCGCCCGCGCAATTTAGGTACTAGCCAGTAGTCGTACTCGTACTCTTTCTTCTTCTGGGCGCCAAGTCAAGCACCATCCGGAACAATCCAGGGTCCCTTTGGGGCACTTTTGCCGGGATTGGGGGGGCTTAGTTAGCGCTATTTGCTGCTGGGCCTCAGGCAGCAGAAGCACTTCGAGGCGCTGTCAATGATCCATCCATGGATTAATGCTGTGTTTTGCATTTGACGGCTTTTTAGCTTTGCGGGTACTTTAGGAGAACTAGTGCATGTAACTGGAACGTCGGATCCCGCACCATCAGCACAGTTACAGCGTGTATCATGTACCTAGATACGCGGACTTTGAGTGCGTCAAACGAGATGCACTGTAGCATTGGCACTGGTCGGCGGAAACTTTGCTCCAGCCAGAAATCCAATATCTCGGTGCATATTGATTCAAAGTTCCATATCTCGTTGCGGCATTGCATTTGCATTGCGCAAGCACGCGCATCGCAGATTCCGATCATCCCGAACAATGTCGCGATCACTAGCAGTGAGTGGAAATCCCCTCAAATCCCCATCGATATCGACCATGCAGCTGACGCCTGTCTGAAAAAAACAAACAGCGCCGCATCTACTCCGACGTCTTCGCCAAATGGCCCAAGCAGGACCTCCGACCCGACTACCAGTTCCAGGATGTCCTCGCCAAGGTCGTTGACGAGCGCTTCAAGAACTACAAGCCATCCATCGAGCCCGAGGAGCTGCTAAAGGCGCGGGCGCTGCAATTCCTGGTGCAGAACAAGTTTAGAGATAGGGTACGCAGCCGATCCTTTTTTTTTTCTGGCAAATTTCGCTAACGAGTGGGCTATGCAGTATAAGCTTAAGGGTCCTATGCTGGAACCCAAGAGCCAGCCGACGTACTTTGAAGACTTGGTCAGGGAGATTGAGGAGGCGCCGAAGAGAACCTGGCTGGAGAGATTGGGCAAGAGATTGTCGGGAATGATTAGACTGCAATGAAGTAACGAACAAAAACGGCGACACGATATCGATATCAACATTAAATTAAAAAGGCATCTCAAAAGGAGGGACGTGGAGGGGGGAAAAGTACATTTCATGAAACAATAATGGACATGGCAAGGTCAAAAAGACATCAAACCAAGCATCTTTTGCAATCATCACTGTATACTATGTATATAAACCTGTACAACTAGTCGCTGTATCAATACGAAGGCTGTGTGATCCCTATCTAAACCCTAAACGCCAGACCAGTCTCCTTCCTCTTCCTTTTTTTTATTCCCCCCATCTATTAGATGTACTTCATCTCGGGGTCTAGCCTGTTCATTAGATCCATGCTCTTCTCGTACATGGTGAACACAATGCCTCCGCTGAGCACCAATCTGGCCAGCCGGGGAAGCGCTCCGCTCCAGAACGTGAGAATGCCCTCCTGCTTAAAGATCATGGCAGCACACCTGAACGTGTTGCCGTACTGGCTCCGCGCCTCGATACTCTGCATGCGCGTCTTGACTGTGTCGAGCGGCTGAGTCACATACACCGTCACTAGGCCTGCAAGACCGCCCATGGCAAAGGTACCCAGGGTGCCGAGCTTCTCTCCCGGCGCAGTATATGACTCGGCGATCTGCTTGAAGAAGTTGTAGGCGCCGAAGCGGGTAGCGCTGTTTGCCGCCTGGCGAGCTGTCGTGGGGACGAAGCCCTGGAAGAAACCGCGGATACCGCGTTCACGGGCGATGATGGGGACGGCGTGGAGGAAACCGCGCATGCGAGGCTTGGCGGATTTGCGGTCGTCGATGCTAAGAAAAGGGCCATCAGCACATGGTACAGATACTAGACAAATCGAAGGAGAAGAGAGGGCATACAGAGTCGTCTTGATACTCTCGGTGGGGGTGACGGCGAGCAGCGACTCTGTGACACCGGCACCGAAGCCGGCCAAGACAGTTCGCGGGCCAGAGAGCTTCCCGTTCTCGTCGGCCAGCATGCTCTTGAACTGGTCAAACGCAACAAATCCTACCACGCACGTCAGCACTTTGAGCTTGTAAATCCAAACCGCCAATTGGGGTATTTTTGCGTACGGATTCCCGCCTTGGCAGAGTTGCCGATGATGAGCGTGGTGCATCCCGCATACCACTGCGCTCCGAAGGGTGGCCATGGCAGCTTCTTGCCCTCTGCTAGCCGTCTGTTGAGCTGAGACCTTGTCTTTGCGACTACACACACATATAGTCAGTAATCTGGTGATTGGATGTACGAGGGAGTATCTCATGTCGGCCAAGGCGATGACGGCGTAGACGTACATTCGGCGGGATAGGTAATGGCTGCAGTATCTCAAAATCAGCATATCGAAAAAAATCTTGAAGCCGAAGCACGTGCGACAAAAGACATACCGATTTCGATCGCACCGGCGGTTGAGCCAGCAATGATTGATCGCAGCGCATTGGGCCGCTGCTTCTTCTCGGCAGCTGCCGGTTCCTTGGCTACCGTCGCCATTATGCTTGTTCTCGCAGCGGTTTGGCGGGGGAGGAAACGAAACTCGGTGTCTGGAACTGATGCAATTCTTAGTGCAGAGATGCTAGCGGGCGCCTCTGATTTGAATGTCTTGGGCCGGAAGATGGGGTTCCGATGTCGCCGATGAGCCATCCGTGAAATGACGGGGCCGCACCCGGAGCTGCGATCTGAGTCGGGAAAATTACTCGTTTTACCTTAGCACGCATTGCGAGTCTGGGGAAGATGCCAGTATTTATAAGGTTGCTTTTCCGTCTTGTTCCGCATCATGTTTCTCTAATACAAAGATTAAGTTTGGAGCAGTTTAGCCGATTGATCAAAGTTTTCTTTCTTGCGTTGGGAAGAAAGTGTGTATCGGTGATAAGAAGAGCGCAACGCTGGTGGTCGCCCAGCGTCTCCCTTGCGTCCCGCGTTGCAGATTTAGGCGCCTGCAGCTAAGAACGATGACCGCATAGTATATCTCTTCAACGATAGCCGGCCCAAGACATTGGGTGCACATCTTCAGCAGGGCATCCACTAGGCTGGAGAAAATGTCTTGGAGCATGGCAACTCGCTGCCCAACTGACTGCGTGACTCTACGTACCCTAGAGTTGCAGACAGCGGTGAGAAAAACGATGTAACTACCTAGATATACGAAAGTAAAATTATCTGAAACAGGACTTGTGACGATGGTGTCTTTTTGGGTTGGTGATGGGAATATCACGGAGCTTTTGCTTGACGCAAATGGCTAGGTCTGCTGGATGCCAAGTGGTGTTGCGTCCTTGTGGTGTGTATCGTCTGCATCAAAGCTGGAATACCACATGCAGTCCTATCCAGGACACAGATCAACTAATCCCGATGAAGATGTACTTGTGGCATGAATGCTCTCTCCAATACGGAGAATTTTAAGGTTGCAAAACTGCACATAGTGTTACATCCAAGCCCAGGCAACATACATCCTGCTGAAACGCTGTCCGTCTATCTGGGGAGAGGAAATGCTTCCAATCCCTGAGAAATAAGACTGGCTATATCTCATTGTTTCTATATGTTAGCGCAATCATAGTTAAACCAAAATATTAACTTTTAATGCGATGATATGGAATAATATTCCTTCAGTGGCGGGATTCATCTCATGGCACGGTAACGTCTAATCCAGGGAGGCGTGCAATGTGGCTTCGATTGGCTCACTCAGCTCTGTTTCACCTTTGTCCCAAGGTAAGCCAAATCTCACAAGGTACATACACACCTCGTAACTGCTACCTGCAAGCATTCAACGGTGCTGAGAACACAAATAGGTAATCCTCCGAGGCTAGACCCGCTGGAAATTGAGCCTGAAGATGGTGAACATGCTCGCAATTTCTCTCTTGAATGCATGTGGTTGTCATTTTCTCATCACTCCAAGTATATGTATTTAGTCTTCCATAGAGTGATAAGGGTATATTGATTGCCAATTTTATTATAGATATTTAGAGAGCAGTTTTTCTGTATACGGGTTGACTGAATACATGTATTTACAGATTCACAACTTGTCCAGTTTTTGTTTTTTTGCGTCCGATCACCATTTCATAGCGCCGCGGTTAGTGCGGGTAAAATTGGGGAACGAGCGGGAGGGGCGCCAATGGTCAGTGTGGTGTGATTTTCAGTCAGTCTGGAGAATTGACTTGATGCTGGAGGTCAAGGGAGGCCTCGGATTATTGAATGCAGATGAGGCTTCTTCATGGGAAATATGGATGATCGAGTATATTAAAAAAACCCCATCATTGCTTGAATTTGGGGTGTGACGACAGCTGAAAATATCTTCGGCTTGGGGTGATGCAGCATCTGCATCCAAGGCTGCTTGTGCATTTACATGTGCCAGCAACCCCTGGTCCGTTTCCATGTCAATTCTTCCGCTTTTGTACTCTGCACTCCATCCAAGGTACAGCACATTACATATACGCACACGTTTCTTTCTCAGTCTCTTTTCCCACCCCTTGGTTGAGACAAACATTCGTAAACTCTTAGTCAAGGCAGAGTTGACGTAAACCTCAAGTAAGCCCACGGCATTAGTCATTCTGTACTGTATGACTCTGACCTTGGCTGTCTCTGTCTCTCCTCTCTCAGCCGTGCTCCTCTGCCGTCTGGTCTCATCCTGCTGGCACAGCCCGCTAATTTTAGTCGCCCAAACCCGGCCATGTGACGATGATCATGCCAGCCACAGCTGGAGCAATTAATGAGCCATTACTGGGATCTTACGGGGTCTCTGTACGTCCATGGCGGATCCTGGTGGGCCGTGGCTGCCTGTCACCAGCCCGACCTGATCTTATCTGATCCGATGAAAGCTCGCCTTCTCTCATAAAGCCCTCATCCCCGTTCAATTTCCCCCGTCTCCCGTTTCGATTTTATTTGTTGCAGCCTTTGTTTTTTTTTTGTGTTCAATATGCGGTAAGAGGCCGTGTTAATAAGGCACTGGCTCTTTTTTTTTTTGTCAGGACTTTTTCTCCCCAGCCAGTCTTGGCCCTTTTCATCGCCACTGAGGCTAAAAACTCGGCGATGGCGGCTTCAGGCGAACAGGCCCCGTTGCTCGGCTCGGAGCCGCGCTCCATGACCGAGGTCCATGAGTATACAGTTATTTCAACCCAAAATCACCATCATGGCTATCCGGACGACGAATATGCAGATTCCACGGCGGCAGGATCCAGCCGACGGGCTGCTGGTGTCGCCCGCATGGAGGCCATTTCGGCCCAACTCTCCCCCCTGGAGCGGTTCTGGATATTCTCGGGCATCTTCTTGATCGGCTACGCATACGGCCTCGAGAGCCAGGTCCGGTCAACGTACATGCCGTATGCGACATCCAGCTTCTCGCTGCATTCATACCTCGCCACCATCAATCTCCTCCGAAGCGTTGTTGCGGTTGCGGTCCAGCCAACGGCGGCCAAGATTGCCGATGTCTTTGGACGCTTCGAAGTCGTGGCTGCGTCCACCTTGTTCTACGTCGCCGGCATGATGATCGAGTCGACGTCAAACTCGGTGTATGCGTTCTGCGCCGGCACCATCACGTACCAGGTCGGCTACACCTGCATCGTCCTGATGCTGGAGATCCTGGTTGCCGACTTCTCGTCCATGCGGGCTCGCGTCTTCTTCAGCTACATACCCGCCCTGCCCTTTGTGATCAACACATGGATTAGCGGCAGCATTACGTCTGCCGTGCTGCGCGTAACCACGTGGCGTTGGGGAATCGGCATGTGGTGCATCATTTACCCTGTCGCCTCACTTCCCCTCCTAATCACACTCTACTCGATCGACCGTCGCACAGGGCCCAACGGATCCAGGAAGAAGAGCGAGTTTGGAGATGCCTACGGTGGCCTCGACAACCTTCGCAAATGGAGCGTCCGGCTCCTGGATCAGGTGGACGCCATCGGCCTGCTTACTCTCGTCACGGCGTTTAGCCTTGTTCTGACGCCTCTCACGATTGCAGGCGGCACGGTATCCCATTGGAGGAACCCGCAGGTCGTCATCCCACTGGCCATCGGGCTCTTCTTCGCTCCCGCTTTCGTCTATTGGGAGAAGAACGGCGCCCGGAACCCCCTTGTCCCCTTCCACCTGTTGAAGGATCGCGGGGTTTGGGCGGCTCTAGCCGTGCGGAGCTTGCTCAACTTTGCCTGGTACGTGCAGGGCAACTATCTCTATACCGTTCTTATTGTTGCATTCGATTTCCCCATTGAGAGCGCAACCCGAATCCTCTCCTTCTTTTCCTTTTTCGGCGTCGTCAGCGGTGTTGCCGTGGGCCTCGTCATCTACAGGGTTCGACGCCTCAAACACATCATTGTCCTCGGCACCGTCTTGTTCATGATTGCTCTGGGCGTTCTCATCAGATTCCCCGGAGGTGCAACCACGGCGTCCAGGAGTGGGCTCATCGGGGGCCAGATTCTTCTGGGACTCTCCAGCGGCTTGTTTGCCTATCCCACCCAGGCCTCGATTCAGGCCTCAGCCTCTCGAGATCACGTTGCCATCCTGACGGGCCTCTATCTCTCCTTCTACAATGTCGGGAGTGCGCTCGGCACCTGTTTATCTGGAGCAATCTGGACCCAAACCCTATACCCAACATTGGAGGCGAGTTTGGCATTTCAACCTAATACCACGCTGGCACGAGCCATTTACGAGAATCCGTTTCAAATCGTTTCGCAATACCCAGTTGGCACCGAGATTCGAAGCGCCATCATTCACAGTTATCGAAGCATTCAGCAAATACTTTGCATCACGGGCATGTGCATATGTTTGCCCATGATTGGTTTTGCATTAGCCCTTAGAAACCCCAAGCTGTCGGATCAGCAAGTGCAAGAAGACGCAGAAGACGTGGCAGCAAACGACGTATGATATGATACCACAACAAGTCATTGACTTTTTTTCACGAACACCTTTTTTTTTCAGCGTTATTCACAGCAAATGGGAATACCAGCAAGGACACACATTAGCGAGCGGATTATATTATGCATAGATACCATAGAGAGTCAATTTAACGGCATATTGTGTTTACCCAGCACGCACGCTGGAAGTAATGAAAGGTTTCAACCACAATGATATTTGAAGCATGGACAAAAGACTTATCATGTTGTGCAAATTAAGCAAACATTATGAATTGATGTGAATAAGTAAGCGAGCTTCTCCCTTGCGTTTCCTACCATTCGCATGTGCTCTCAGCTGGTTACACGTAGGTTGACAATGCAGCCACGCTGCAGCCACCGTCCAACGCAGATCAAATAGGATTCTCATTTTCAGAAGGGCAGACCGTTATACGAGATTATCCTGGATATAGTCCAGCTCTCGGTGATGACTGTTACGTAGCAGCTGCCCTCGACAGCTGTTTAGTGGAAGGTGCCAAGATGCGCCTATGCATCTAGATCGTTATGTGTTGCACTCTGGAAGAGGATCCGAAGCGCTATTGTGGTGGCTTAGCATTGATTGTATCACGACGTTGGTGTTAGCGGCGCCAATGTCTCATTTGGTGAGAAGCTGAAATTCTGAAGGCGGTAAGGAGAGAGATATAAAAGCGCTGGATGTTAGCGATACTAGGATGGTTATTACTCTGACCAACTCACGCCCCTTCTCTAGTATTGCAAATTTAGCTTACGCGCTTCAGTCATTGAGACATTCCGTCACGATGAAGTTCCAGGTCATCTCCGCCATCTCCCTTCTACTGTCTTCTGCCACTGCAGCTCCACCGCCTGCACCCAGAACCTTTGACGTTATGGCACTTCATTCAGCCAGTCCTATCCATTTTGCGCAGATGAGCGCAGCTAGGAGCGGCCTGTTTCTGAGCTTGCCTCTGCAGAATGCCACGTGCAAAGGCCAGTCGAGCGGCCATGCGACTTTTTACATTGCCAACGAGGAGCTGTTCTTGTATTCCTGCGAAGGAGAGAAACAAAAAGCCTTTGTCGATCGTTCTGGCATGGGTACGTCTTGTTCCATCTATCTCATCGGCTGCGTAGTTCTCGATCGTGATGGTAGCTGACTTTGATGTGTCCATCTGTGGAAAACAGGGCAGGGTATAGTAGGCTATATTAATGGGAGCCAGCCCCTTCCCCAAAGATGGGAATCAAAGGGGTGGAGGGTTGACAAGGACAAGAATTTGTTTTTCAAGGATGTCGGCTTGATTGCTTGTCCGAATAGCATCGACGGCTCGTGGAGGATTTGGCTGAGTTTGGGCTTCCTACAGCCTGGCGGCAACAAGGGCTGTCTGGGAATGTCGGCAAGGACCCTGGATAATAACAAGCCAGTGAGCTGCCGGTATACGTGACAATAGCCTGATAGCTTATTTGTAGAGTGTGTTTGGGGGCAAGTGGTGAAATATACTGCTTTCAAGTCATATTTCTCATGATATAATACTGGGGTTTTATCTACTTTGACACGGTGTTTGACAACAACATTTTGTTTCTCAGGAATAACGGGTAATTGGCGATCAATTATTTAAAAACTCGGTTGAAGATACTCTGCATAATATTACCACCCTCTTCGCCCCTTTGCCTATATTAGGCAGCCTTATCGAATGGGTCATTCGTAGAGTCAGTGTTCCTAGTATACTCAGACATGGTTGCAACTTTGGACGCGGCCTCTTCGCCATACTGGTCAGAAATAAAGGCGTAAATCATGTCAATACCAGCTGATACCCCGGAAGAGGTCAAAATGTTGCCGTCCTGTACCCATCGCGCATGGCGAACCCACTTCACATCAGGACCTTGCGCCGTGACCTGGAGAGTGGGAGACTGTTAGCTATGGCAAGCAAAGAGGTTCAGGTTGCTCATCGTCATACCCAATCGAAAGCCAGCTTGTTGGAGGTGGCATTTTTACCATCGAGAACACCAGACCGAGCTGCGAGGGCGCTCCCGGTACAGACGGTAAGGAGAAAGCGGAGGCTCGGAAACGATGCCTCGATGAAATCCACGACAGGCTGTGTGAGCTCAAGTTCACGGGTTCCCCGACCTCCTGGCACGATAAGAACTTCTATATCCTTTGGAGCATCTTGATATGTATGTGTCGGGACTAGGCTCTGTCCAATTGCGCTGGGGGTTGGAGCATTTGCGAGGATGGTGGACACTGGATCCAATGTCGTAGAGAGTAAATATAATTCTAATGGGTTGGTGTATGAGAGTATGTTGAGTGCGTCCAGAGGTCCAAAAACGTCGAGAGCTTGGAAGCCTGAAAAGAGGGCGACTGCGATCTTGCTGGGTGGCCCGGGTAACATTTTGGGGCAATGGCGTAATTATAAAATGGGTTGGACAATTGACGTGATGCTGCTCTAATGAAAAGAAGAAGAAGAAGCACAATGAGTTGTCGCCGGTTTTTGCAAGCTTGGAGTCCTCAAGTGTCTTGCTGGAATATATATATAGTCAAGGGAGGAGGGTATCAAGGACCAGGTGGCATTGACATTACCAACCATGCACTGTGAGCGATAATTAGCCATCGCTCATAGTGCTCCGTCGTCCATACTTACTAGACCTAGTATTGATTTGGTGACCCAACATCGGTGAGTGCTAATTGCGTGATGGTCTAGTGCGACATTTCGTATTGAATGGCAATGGAATGGAGCTTGTAAAAGGAGTCGCCCGAGATCCGGAATGCATACCTCTTTGGAACTGATGTGTGCCTAAACCAATGACGCCAGTTGGGCTGCCGCGTTGTTTAACAAGAGCAGAGCTGTACTACCACCATTGATTTTCCGTTTGACTCAAGCTATCATGGATCCTTGCATAAGACCACCACCCCACAATGGGTTATACTGGGCGTTAATTGATTATGTGTCTTTGACCACTAAATGTGTGGTACAAAGCCCATTCTGACGGTCCATTGTAATATAATAGTGAGCGGCAATCCGCGGGAGGGGAAGTCTGTTGGTTGACAACCGGAAATCGGTCACTTAAAGTCTCACCCCGCAGAAGCATGTCAAGGGCCGCTCGTGTAATGCTAAACGATAAGTTCAGACTTGTGAAAGCGGTTACATTGTTACGTATGCTTCAGTCGATATCTTTTTAAGCCTTCATGACAGCGGGCAAGATTATGTTTGGATGTTGAATTCAAGTAGAATGGCGGTGGAGGAACAAGGTAGCAATAGTGAGTTAAATCCACAATTTTCAGCGAGTCTCAACCCGTCTGGTAAGGCGTTTCTCAGATATCAAATCTCGTATCTCTTTAGGCGGCGGCGTTACAGCGCTAGATCCTCCGAACTTTCAACTTTCAAGACAGGAGTTGTGAAACTGTTCACGGGCATTGAGGCTGGAGTTGTACAAGTTATCGAGAAGGCAGCGGCGCTTAGTGTGTAGTATTTCTTGAGCAGGATCAATCTAAGCTTAAGCAACACCCTCTGTCTATGTGTTAATAATCGTATGCGTTGATCGGGTTATAAAGCCGTGAGTGGCAGATCCTTAGGCTTATATGTAAGCAAGGCAGCGGAAGCTCTCCGAAGCACACATCTTGCATATGAGATGGATTCTACGGAGTAGTCTGTACTATTCGCACGCGTGACAGCACTGGAGAAAGGATGCAGTCATGTCGAGTGCCTAAAAGTAGACGCCCTTGGAATCATGTTGTAATTCCCGTATAACGATAGATGAAATGTCCACCAACGGCCCGCCCCGCGCCTCGTTAGGTGCCATTGAATGCTATTAGGGAAGTGGCAAAGAGCCATTGGCGTATTTGCTGAATACGTGTGCTTCTCGCGCCCACTTTCAGCATCGCCTTGATCATCGCCTTGTTCGTGTACAGCTTATTTACATGCCCACACCTGAGTGGATAGTGGAACGATCAGGTGGCAGCAGGAGTCAAACCCCCTTGTTACATGGAATAGTCAGAGAGAGCCAGTTCCACTTGGACAGACACCAAGGAGTTGCTCTGACTTCACGTTGTGTGGCATTAGTGGCCAAGATCTGCCAAGCACAGCCATTACTCCGTGTTGTACATGCATTAGGCGAGCCCTGAGTTTAAGAAAGGCAGCCGGTCACATTGACCTGCTTTAGCAGGCGTGCCCCTACTCCTGATGCAACATGGAAGCACAGAGTTTGAAACCTCAACGGCTACATACATGTAGGAAGCCCCCGCCTCTTCTAGGTAGCAGTCGAAAGGGTTCGATGACGGCGCAGCAACTGGTAACCCCTGTGCAGGTGACAATTCTCGCCGCGAAAACAACCATGGATCAGCATGCGGGTCGATGGCCTTTCGGTATCTAGCGCGCGCAAGTGAGGCGGAGAAGGCGTTTAGTCCGTCACTTGAGGCTCTTAAGCCCTTGCTACTGGCACGTCTCGCCCCCCACAAGAGGCGGAGTGACTAAACGCTGGTGTAGCCAAAGTCGTGAAAATGAGATTTTGAACATTTAAAATACCCGGCTCTTCGTATGCGACGGAGAGTGTTGGGATAAACACCATCATGATCGCAAAGATGGGTGTTGATGAGAAGCAGCCATCGCAGAAGTCGCCGGGGATGGAGACGCAGTTTGCCGCCATCCTGGCGGATGCTGCGAAGCTCTTCAAAGATCCATCCGACAAAGGCCTAACACTAGACGAGTTTCTGAAGCCACCGATGAAGACTATATCCGATCTGAAGCTGCAGTTGACTACTCAGAACGACCAGTTTAGCCACTTTCGAGAAAAGCGCCAGAGCATCTTCGATGCCATCGCGGTGACTCTAAGGCCAGTAGAGTTGATAGGAGACATCGTTGCCGAGGGAATTTCAGAAGTTTTTTCACCGGCACAAGGTATCTTTGCGGCAGTCATGTATCTTATAAACGCTGCGCACGATGTTTCTACCATGTACGACTCAATATTGGAGCTATTCGATCAACTCAAGGTAAGATGGCTTTGACCCATTAGGTGGCTCGTTCAGGTTAAGATTAATGCGTGACAGGACTTCACATCGAGGTTGGACGTGTACTTGAACCACACGCTTAGTCCTGCACTACGTAATAAGCTCGTTACTATCCTGGCAACTTTGTTTGAAGTTCTCGTTATCGCCACCAAAGTCGCGCGCAGTGGAAGGTTCAAAGCTTATTTCAAAAAGCTCGTTGGAATCGAGAGTCCTGTTCAGCCCGCGCTGCAGAGGCTTAATGCCCTAACTCTAGGAGAGGAGCGGCAAGTCATTGCAGAGACATATGGCGGCGTTGCCGAGCTCAACCTAAAGACAGACAAAGTAGAAAACCTCGTCGCACAGATGAGCCAAAATATTCTGGACATGAGGTTGGGACAGCAGCAAAATGGGGGTCTTTCCTACAGAGACAAATTGAGGGAGGTCTTGGAGCCTACTCCGTATGCGGAAGACTCGTACAATGCATTCAACAAGTACAGAGTCCAAGGCACTGGTGACTGGCTGCTGGAAGATGAAGGGCTGAAGTCTTGGATTCAGGGCGAGACTCGCCATCTATGGGTGTGCGGTAATCCTGGTATGTCATCCTTCCAACTTGATCCCAAACAACCATTGTCTGTCCTAACCGTTCCTACTTCCAGGTACTGGCAAATCTTTCTTAACCTCACGACTTATTACATGGGGCCTCGAGAATCTCCCACAGCTAGGATATTTCTTCTTCTCCGCCAATGATCCCGAGACAAGATCTGTGCTGCAGGCTTTACGCGATGTCGCATATCAACTCAGCGAAACCGATGCGTTTTACGCCGAGAAACTCGCAAGGCAGCTTCATAGCAGCGACGATATCAAGACGGTACCCAGCGCATTCAGAAGGCTCTTTGTGCAGCCGTTCTTAGATGATACTCGCGATAAGACTACTTATATCTTTCTCGACGGCATTGACGAGGCGGAACAGAGTGGCATCGAGCAGCTTCTCTCCTTGCTTGCCCCCGAAGATGACTCTGAGCCTTCAAAATTGCAATTTGCATTGACTGGAAGGTCTTATCTAGCAGACGTTGTGTCCTTTGCATTGGATCCAAATGCAATTGGTCAGGTGATTACAACGATTTACGTGACATCCGATCGCATTGCAGATGATGTGAGCGCCTTCATCTCTGAAGGTGTGCGGCATTCAAGGATACTCAGCCGATCTCCGGAAGACTTCAAGCAAGAAGTCATCGAGTCTATGAAGAAGCAAGTCGACGGCCTCTTCATTCTGGCAAAGTTTATGCTCAATGAGATCAACCAGAAGCGACACCCCAGTTCGATCCTTAAAAGCTTGAAATCTTATCCAAAGGAGATCAACGGAATGCTCAACGAGACACTCGCCAACCTCTCCGTCACCATCTCAGAGGAGGATGCTCGTGACCTCAACGAGATGCTGCAGTGGGTGTCTTGCGCTGAAGAATCGCTCACGTTGGAGCAGTTGGAAGCTGCGCTCATCATGAAATTCGGAGATCCTCCCCTGCGGCTTGAGGAGTCATTGCGGGGCCAATACTCGTGCTTCTTTGCCCTTGAGCGTGAAGATGGATTGACTACGGATGATTTGCTCAAAGACTTTGCCAGAACACATCGAGAGGTGTATCCGGATAGAGCTTATAGGAACGAAAGCCCACGTCCTCGAGGTCTCAGCTCTTCTGATACAAGTAGCCCTGGCCGAAGAGTCAGTCCTGCCGGTAGAGGCAGCAGTCCCGGTAACAGAGTCAGTCCTGCTGGTAGAGGCAGTCCTGGTAGCAGAGGCATCTTTAGCAGTCCGACCAGTCCGCCCGCAGCCGAAATATCTAGTCCGACCCGACATTTCAGCCCGGCACGAAGCCCCGGACTTTTTGACGTTTCCAACGAGGTCGATTTTCGGTCGAATCCATCGACAACATATGTAACTTTCTCTCACACGTCAGTGAGACAGTTCTTCCGTGATGGCAATGAAAACATTGTTCATGCTACTAAAGGAGGCGTTATGGTTGGCTTTGACATGATGAAGGCTCGTATCAGTGTCTTGAAGGCTTGTCTAAGAATCTTTAACGATAGGCCGTGGTTCGATAAGCACGAGCTGGATCACGGCAAGGAAGCTATCAAACAATATGCTGCATGGTACTGGCAGGAACATTTGACAGCACTTGATCCGGCAAGCGTTCCATCGGAACATAAGAACGAGCTTGGAATGAGCATATACAACATGCTTACCGTCGAGGACATCATATACGACTGGAGCACCATGTACGAGAAGAATAACGAAGGGCTGGAGGTGCTTACCGACTCCAATATCCAGGGCCTTCGCAAATGGCTCAATGATCCCGAGATTCTTGCGAGCCTCACGACTGAAGCGAAAGACTTTGTGGCGAAATCGGTCAAAGA